AATGATATAAACATTACACTCCTTGAACAAGCTAACAGGCATCTGTATTCAGTAGCTTGGTAGATAAGGTGTTGGAGACTGAAGTGAAAGGTGCTGGATTCGGGTCCCAGAGTGAATATAAAAGCCGATGAATATACATCCAATCGACGTCTCCCAATTAAAACGAAACCCTTGTTCTTTATTCCACTACTAGCTAAAACTTATTTCAAGTAAAAGGGATGAGGCTGATTGTTCTATATGGACATGTTTTAGATTATAATAACTAGCTATTTGTTAACAGAAAATAATATTATGTCTTATAGTCTTGGGCGTTGGGAAAACTTATTGTCATCAGTTGAGGCTTAGCTACTAGTCAAATTGACTTAACATGTTGATCTGTCTGCGGTCTTATTCTGATATTAGATGGTTAGAGACAGTCAACAGGAAAAATTAAATGCACATCTCATGCTAATTGGTACTTATCACCAATATATAGCTGTCGTCTTGAGGTAGCTCTTACTTCTGTGCATTTGTTAGTCACTTAAACCAGTATAGTTGCATTCCATCTCTGATCTATAGAAATCAATTAACATTAAGTAATTCTGAAGGACACCATGATTATTCATTGAACATACAATTAAAAATTGATTTCCAGAACCAACATCTTCAACCCGATTACAATTCCAATGATATTAACTGGATAAGCAATTAACGAATTCCACAATAGGTCATATGGTTTTGCATCTAATCGAAAATACCACTTATATTAGGATTACTGACAAGTTCGCGGTTAACAGGGTGCTTAGTTTCAGTATTTTCTGTAGACTATCCACAATTCTCTGACGTGTACTGATTTGTGTATTAAATTCAAAATGCAGTTAAGAACAATAATTCCGCTGCATTATTATCACTAGAACATAGTGAACCTATATGAATTTGTGACTCAATTATTTATAATTGATGAACATGAACTATTAATTCGCCATTTTGTCATCAAGATAGAATACAAACTTATAATTTTATTTTATTTTTGCACTGATGGTAATCGTGATGGTATTAGTTTAGTGGACGCTACTTATAAGAATGTTTGTAAGTATTGTGAAGGGACGTGGCTTTGAAGTTATAACAATTGTCAGACGAAGTAATAGTTTCAGTACATAGAAAGTACGGCGTTGGCGGAACACTTAAAGACTAGATGAAAATACAGTTCAGATGACAGAACGTACCAAAAGATACAATTGGACTATTGAAGGCTATGTAAATGCAATATGTAAATACTTTGCAACTTCTCAGTATAGGGATTTGAGGGAATTATAGTATTTTAACAGTTGAATTCATAGGTCAATCTAGGAAATGCCACTATAAAAAACCTGGAGGCACTGGACGGCCGTTTCGTCCTAGTATGGGACTCCTCAGCAGTGCACGTCCACGATCCTGCACACGGGGCTTAGACCCAGGACACTCGGTTTTGGGCACGAAGGCTTAACCTCTAGACCACTTAACATCCAGACAACTGAGCTGACATCAAACGGTGTTAATGTCTAACTCCAACTAATCCACAATATTGCGAAACCCTCATACTATGTCACAACCAACATAGATTGAACTCTATTGGTCACTTTGTTTCTCACAAAACTCCAGAAGTTATATCGTGAAGCTAGTCACTAGTGAACAAATAATTACAATAACTGTGCGGGATTTGTAAAGATTATCTAATTTTCACAGTATGACTTACTGTTGACGAGTGTTAAAGTAGAACGAAATGGCCTTCCAGTGTTTCTGTACTTTGAGTTGTGATTTAATTAAGAGTATTTCGTGATTTAATTTATAAAAGTTCCACATCATCCACAAGTCTTCTTTACTAACAAATGATGCACAATATCAGCTTTTAGATCGCCGAAGACGGTGTCAGGGAAACATAGAATTATTCCAGGTGTTATCTGTCGCAGAAAGCTTCCAATAAGTGTATTAGTGGGAGAAACAACGTTTATGCTCAAATATCAAAGTGTAGGTTATTTTTTAATGGTAATTCGCGTCAAGATTGAACCCTGAATGTTTACAAATACACTTTGGCTACTAATGAGTAGATAAACCACTCCTGTGAAATGTCTGCTTAATCATTTATCGATTTAGAGGCGTTATCTTCCTAGTTCAATGAATCGTTAAACGTCTGTAGAACTACTTAAAATTCTAATTCGTTCAGTTGTAATTATACGAATTCAGCGATATGGTGCTAAGTTTGCTTGTGTGGGTGTAGACAGTCATTTTGCAAATGATTAGTAAATTGTTATTAAAGGTGTTGTGGAGGTTGTAGGATTAAAGTTGTACATCATGGTTTGAATTTGGTTAGGCACAAGATATTCATTCCATCCAAATATGAACCTCTTCAAAAACCATTGCCTATGAATCCATCGGGTAATGAACATAAAACTTTCAGGCCTCATTGTGAATGCTTCAGATCACCGAGAGTTTTTGAACTGACCAATAATAATACCACAAGTCTTACATTATTAAGTGGGCACTATTTTCCTAACACGGTCAAAAATTCATTTCAAACCTTCTTACTTGGAAAATCATACAAAAACTAGGTTAACATGAAAGTCTAGCAATGGCCTTATTTGAAAGCACTATCGACGGTGATGTTTGAAGAAGGTTCAAATCACTAACACTTAGTTGAAAACAAAATATGAACCGAAAGTAAAGGTATTTCTCGCTATTTAAATGAGTTAGTTAAAATGTATTGATAAACTGTTACTTCTTTCAATGCATTCATTACACTTTTAATTTTTAATACAACGCTGTATAATTCAGACAAATTTTTTATCCTTCTAGTGAGTTGGCCTTTAGTCTGACCTATGAATTTCCTGTCCTAAGTCAATGCGATATTTTAGGTCTCCAAAAATGTTTATAAACTATGTATATACTCTTTCCTTATGGAATGGAGTGATAGTCAAGTATTTTCAGAGGTGGTCTACGTCTTTCTTCTGTTTTCGTTTTATGCGGACAACCAACCAGGGTTTATGCAGTCACCAGTAATGAGATATAGACAGTAAATAGTAACAGCAGTTAAGATTTACAATGCTACAGTGATTGATGACATAGGTACCAAGGCTCTCTGTGATGCACATTTCCTTAATTGTATTCTGTCATATAAATACTTGAAATTATGTTAGTTAGTATCTATTTTACAGGTTACGGTACCTGAGTTTTTGGGAGAATATAATCAGATATTCAAACTGTTTATGTTTGGTTTTTACAAAAGATATAAAATATGTTTTCGAAATTATCTCATCATGAACATCAAATTGAGTATAAGCCGTTTGCCTACTAGTGAGTAGCTTAAAGCATATTGTATAATTTGTAGTAATTAAGTTACTCGATACAGAAATAAACATAACATAACAGAGAAAATGTCCCAACGTACTTTGAAGTATGAAATAACATGACAAATGTGTAAAATCTTAGCTAGTTTCAAGAATATTCGATTGAGAAGACGCCTTCAGTGAATACTAAGAAAAAACCAATCATGAAAAATTTTATCAACACAAAAGATGTAGAAAAATTGTTGGATTTTGATTAGTGTGACATAAAGATCAACACAATATTCTATCCTACAGAAATCAGACATTGATAAAGTTTTTATATCATTTACAATGGAGTTGTTTTATTTCTTTTGTAATTAGTAAAATTCATAGAACATTCTTGATATTGAGAGTTGAAAATTCCCAACCCAAATGTTTGAATACAAACCAACAATATTTTGAAATTGCATTCATATTCTAACCTTATTAGTCGTTCGATGTGAATCATTCTATTTTATATGCTGACTATTCATAAAGTCATTATTATATTTGGTAATATTTAAATAATTATATAGTAACTAATTCATGTTTTGTGGGATTTTCTATCTGAGTCCACTGTACACGTCATATATAAGAAGTAAGTCACCTTATTACCAACTAATCATATATGTATATTCTCATATTAAATTAGAATTAAAGAAAATAATTTCAACCATAACGGCGACAACCAAATGGTTGGTTTATGATTTAATCGCTTGAATATTTTAATGAAAACTTTTGCATTTTATCCTAGAATGAAGGTAAACGGTTTAGGTGAATATATTGTCAGTGTAGTGAAAAATCATTAAAAATATGAGTAGTATACATGGATAAATATTTATCTAATTTAAGTAGTTGAATGATTTTGTAGTTATTATGATAACAGTAAATTCCTGGTTTCGGTTCACCATACTTTGGTAATGAATCAACACAGTGTACAAAAAAGTTAATCCGTGATGTAAACTATTTCTCTATATTAAAACAAATTTTTCAGACAATCTAAATCTAGAAAGAAATAGAAAATTTTTAAAATATGTTTAAACAAATAATTCTGTTACTTCAAAGAATAATATGCAACTAAAATACTAGAAAAAAACTTCACTTATTCTAAATAATGATAAATAGTTGGATAGTGGCTAGCAGTGGAATAAAGGACGCGCGTTTCGTCCTATTTGGGACTCGTCAGATGAATGTACCTGCATCTCAGAGTTGATGTTCACTCTAGGACTCGAACCCAGTACCCTCGCTTCAAACGCCATCGCGTTATTCACTCGGCCACTGAGTCCTGATAGCCACTTGCTTGTGCAATGGGGTGAAGTTTAAATTCACTTAGTATGGTTTGTTTGAATCTTTCCATCGATGTGTTAGGACTGCAGCTGGTCAGTCTTTAATTGGCATATGTGCATACTGTGCGTATTGCCTCGATATAGCGTTGATTTGAGTCCCAGAGTGAACATCAACTCTGAGATGCAGGTACATCCAGCTGACGAGTCCCAAATAGGACGAAACGCTCATCCTGGATTCCACTGCTAGCCACTATCCATCTTTGTTTATCATGCTTGTGAATTAAGGCTATATTGAGGCAATACGCACAGTATGCACATATGCCAATTAGAGACTGACCAGTTGCAGTCCTAACACATCGATGGGAAGATTTAAACAAACAATACTAAGTAAATTTAATGATAAATAGTGCTTTAAGATAGATTATCATTTGTTATTCTTTCTATCAAAATTCTTGAATCATATTCTATATAGTCTATATACTTTTTAACTTGATCTGAAGCTTTTCCACAGACATTGTCTATTTCAAACCCAAGGCGAAGGGTTGGAGGTGGGGGTTAACAATTGTATCCGTTCAAGAAAAAAAAGAACCTGACTGAAAAAAAACACACTCATGAGTACTTTTTTAAAATAGAATCTTAGTGAAAATATCAAACAAGAGATTGATTTGGTAAAAAAAAAACTTGGTTTAATTTTTCTAAAATAATATTCATGAACTACATAACATGTTCTCCGTCTTTATATGTATGTGGTTACTGTAATGAAAATCAAAGGAAAAAATGTATCATAATAAGTAGATAGTGAGGGTATATTTTGTAATAAAATCGCTAAATAATTTTTATTCATATCATAAGCATAAAATAAGATGGTGTTACATTTATAAAATGAAAGAGGCCATGGAAATATATATTTATATCCAGTAATAGTTGAAATTAAATTCCACTATTAACCAGTTTAATTAATCTATAAATGTTAAACTGAACAAGGTTTATTATATACGTAAATATTTGCATCAATGAAATGGCATTAAAAATTTATAATATTTAAGCATATGACTAGGTAAATAAGATAGGAAATGAAATATAATAGAAGAAATAATAAAAAGAAGCCTAATATAGAGAAAAAAATGAAACAATAATTATTTATCAGCATACATAGGGCATTGGTGTATAAAGTTCCATAACTACTAGAAGGGGGTTAATATTTTGGATACTAAGATAGTAACAATAAAGTATTATATGAATATGGATGCAGTTTTGTATGTTTGCATTAGATTTACGAAGAAATGATTTCTAGTATTTATCAATATGCACGTATAAAATCAGTGTATACTTTTATACAATGTATTTGTATAAGTAACTGTGTAGATAATACAGACATACTATGATGAAAATTGAGAATACACATTCAACTGACGAATATGTAATTTCTTGAAAAGAAAATTGTTTTTTTTTTACACTTGAACAGTTTGATTCATAGTTTTATTCTGATTTAAATGACCTGTTTTATTAAATAATTCGGTGGATTTTGATTCACGATTATGATTATTATGATTTTTTTCATGCCAATTTGTATCCATCTCATTATCAATCCATTCATAACGATCTGATTTTATTGGAGAATTATTTGGAGAAAATGATTTGAAGTTTTCCATTTTTTCTTGATCAGTATGTGGTTTTATAATAGAAGTTTTAGTAGAATTAGTTTTTAACATTTGTCCAGTAATCCAATATTTAGGATTGTGAATTTGATCTACACTACCTAATTCATCGTCATATTCATAATTTTCATCTTCAAACTCTTCAAGATCAGCTAATCTTGGTGTTTGATTTGGTAATGAATACATGGAACCAGATAATTCATCACATGGTGTATTATTAAATGGATTAATCCGTTGTGTTGTCAATGGTGGGGAATAAATACAGTGATTTCGTGTAGGTGTTGAATGTACTGAATAATCTATTCCATGCATAGAATTCATTTTCATACTCATTAACTTTTTAAAAGAAAAAGAAATAATAAATAATGGCATAAGTGGAATGGATTATTACAATCTACTAGACTATTGAATGTAATAACAATGAAATAAACTAAAATCTACTAAAATTATGAGATGAAAGATGAATTACAGTGTTAAGTCCTGATTACTTAGTGATTAATTAGTATAAAATTAGTTATTATGTATAAGTCTAAGTTGTTTGTGACGATTTATTCAATAGTGAGAATGAAATGATACTTTTCGAAAACAGTGATTTTGAATGATGTTGATATGGCCTTGAGATTTTTATACTTCTTGTTATTTAATGAATAGATAGTTAGTATAAATCAAGGATAGTACACTAGGAAAATAAAGAAACTTGAATTTGCTTAATAATTTCACAAAACATATGGATTTTTTATGAGGTTTATTAACATTCTTTCTATCTTAATACTGAAATTTTTTCATCATAGAAAGTCATTCACCTGTATGTATATAAGTTTCTTCCTTGATATTTTATAAGGCCAAAATAGCTTCACATTATTTTGTAGTTAATTCAAAAGATTTATAAATTGGACGAAATGAGTTCATGAGGTAACAATTCAAGAAATTCATGCACTGTATTAGTAATCTATTTTAATAGTTGTACTCAATTGAAATGCCTAACATCCAGTGAATCAGTAATAAATTGGTTTATCTGACTGTTTATTGTGAATAAAAAGTAATTAAGACAAAAGCTCATTAATTTACTTATTGCATACAATATTGAACATAAATAGTACATAGGATTTATCAGTATTTTCGTCCACACATTATGTAATTCCCACTGTATATGGTAGTTAAATTAAAAGTTTTCTTCTTATTTATAAAATTTCTGCGTACTATATCAAATATCTCCTTTACATATAATTTTATATTAAGACTGATAACTGGCATCGTTCTTTAAATTTTATGCAACGTATCTAAGGTTGCTTTCCTAACGTCATAGAGTTATCCGCTAAGCTACGAAGTTCAGAAAGCCATCAAGCTTCGGTGACAGAAAGAATTTCTAGACAATACACCTAGTTTACATATATGGCAATAAATACACATCAAGTTTAGTTGTGAATTAAAAGGAACGGGAAGTTACAAACCACTGGCTATACTGCACAATGTTTTCCTCAATGTCCTAACTTTATATTCTTTCGTAAGTCTGTCGAAAAATGTGCTGATTTGAAGTGAATAAAAGGGAATTAGCAAACATTCAGTAGGTCTTATATGCATAAATGCTTCCTGAAGCAGGGGCACTGTCAATCAGAATAAATTTGTAAAAATATAATAATAATAATCAATACTGATTATAAATGTCATGTGTTTTTTCCTTACAAAATTCCACAAATTCTTTCGCTATCACATAATTAAACATTAATATCTGCTATGAACATAATTCATAAACTAACCTGTAAATCATTTACGGGATTAGTTGTAAGTCTAAGAGTTGGATCTGTTTTTAAATTAGAACCGCCAAAATCAGCAGGTTGCGACGCAAATCTTCTACGACGTGTTGGTTTCTTATGATGTTGCGGCTTATTTTTTCTTATGTGCCAAATAGCTGTACCGATTAATAACACTAATATGACAGCAGAAACTGATAAACCAATAACTAAACCAGTATAATTGTACTGAGGCTATATTTTTGTCATGGAGATAAAAATAAAATAAAATTTAATTAGAGAAGTGTGGTAAAACAGTGGTATATATTTATAGACTACTATTTTAAGCTATTTCAGTAGTTTAAAGTTTTGATTGTTTTTGTTTTTAGGGCCTATTGTCAATTCATCTTGTAATTAGTGAAGATAACCGATTAAATAAGTTAAAACCACAGACTATGTCTGTTGAAATTGGTAATAAAATTGGGGTCCCCAGATGAAATTGAGTGTATTATTGTAAACACATTTGCGGTTTATTGTTTTAAATAAAAAAAGTTCTTTAAGGTATAGAACTTCATAAGCGATTCTTAGTGCGGCCGACAATTAACTTTTATAGAACAAAAGTTCTATCATGAAATCAAATTCAAAGAGCTTGTGACATACATGCAAATCTACAGTGAAATAATACTTCAAGCTTGAATGTCAGCTGACTTCACAGCTAGTCAGTCATTTATAAATTCGGTGCAAATATGTATCTGAAAAGGTTTACGCAGTTCATATCCGAGGCGAGCAGGAGAGACAGATAGAAAGAATTAGTGAGATTATCTTGAGTATCTGAATAAAAAAATCTATACCTCTTGAAATCATTTAGAAAAGTTGCTGAATATTTTATGGGTTGATAATTCCTATCCTTCATTCAACGCGCTCTTATATTAGCCAGTATGCTAAATTCTGTTAAACATTATGCTCAGTAATTAAATCAGGTTATGTGGTGATGTTTTACAGCTATGTATAATTAAATTAAGTAAGTTAATGAAGAAAAATGAATAAAAGTTGAAAGAGTTAAAAATTTATCTTAATTATCTCCTGAAAAGTGATTCATTCAACTAATTTTTCACAGTTGAAATCATGAGTCGTTTTTTGTTAGACCACCATTGAAAACCTGGAAGCACTGAATGGCAGTTTTGCCCCAATGTGGAACTTTGAAAATTCAGTAGCCTACCTAAAAATTTGATAATAATAGCTATGTTAAGCAAACTGTTATGTTTTAACTTTTAAATGGAAAATCAATTTCTCAGTACTGTTGAATAAGCGTACAGATGAATTTTAGTGAATCGAAACCTTTTATTTGCCTATCTTATTTGATTATCTGTAAAGATTTAACTCATAAATGCCACTGGAAAATTTTTAAAATATTTAAACATATGATTCATAGCAAATGAACGCATACATTATTAATTCTTTCTTAGCTAGCGAATTGATTCTAATGTATAAGAATAATGGCTGCAATTGGAAGAAACACGGGAATCTAGTAAATGAATTATAATGAAACTTTCTAGACTACTTATCAACAAATCAAAAATGCTGTTCCAATGATTACAATTGGCAATCCAAAGGGTTTTTTCACAGTTTAAAACATGATTACTTTAAGACTAAAAGCATTATTAACCACTTTAAAAGAATCAACTGGTGACATTCAGTAACCATTAGGAACTTATGATGTTCGTCTGGTTGTTTAACGATTTACTGATGAGAAAAAAGCAAGTCAAACAATAAATTTATAAGCATAAGATTCAATGTAAAATCCCTCATACTGAGATAGATACAACAATCAGTTAATGAAGTTTAATAAATTTGCATTTTTTGGATATTCTCTCAATCAAAAACATGGAATTTATTGAACTGATCGAAATGTGAAAATTTCTTTAAAACAAAACTACAGACGTGTGAAATAAGGCGAATAAATTAATGTATGATATAATAGAGAATATATGTAGCTTAGGATGAGGATATTGAGAGTATTATGGTAGCTGAAATAAACTATTCATCTCAGAGACTACAACTTAAACAAACAAATATATAAGATTGAATATAATCTTACCTTTTTATCTATAGTTCCATATTCATAATCCATTGGATTAATAAGGCGTAGACGATTTAACGATTTGTCACCAGATTCAATACGTTCTTGATCGGATAGTACATAATGTACTGCATCAGGATTTGGACGAGATGATAAAGATTGATTTGAAATAAATGCACCTACTTCATTGATAAGTGATGCTGTTTCTGATCCTTTACCTTGAATAACAATCTAAATAGAAATGAAGTAATTTTAGAAAAAATTTCGGTACAGTTAACTCTAAGTTCCTTTTCATCTACTACATACTACTTGATTAAACAATAGTAAATAATTTTGTTGAAAATATTTTCGAAAAAAATGAGTTTTGGTATCTGGATTTTGCTCAGAATGATTTGATTGTCCATTTTATAGTACTTCCATCCATCCTGTAAACCTGAGATTATAGTTTATCAATAGTTTGAATAATTTTCCGGTTAGCGTTTTTCTAGCGAGTTGGTTTTCTACGGGATGGGGTTGCTAACCCCATGCTCAACCCTCCTCTTTTATCCGGGCTTGGGACCGGGAGTAGCCTCCGAAGGAGCTACAGCAAAAGAGGAAGACCAAAGAACACATTACGCCAAGAAACAGAGACAGACATGAGAAGAATGAACAACAATTGGATAGAACTAGAAAGGAAGGCGCAGGACACAGTGGGTTGGAGAATGATGGTTGGCGGCTTATGCTCCATTGGGAGTAACAGGCGTAAGTAAGTACAGTTAATCAATGGAATTTAATTAGTATTAAGGACAAAAATATGACACTGATTACAATTAACTGACTGATGAGTGTTAAAATACTAATCATATTGACCGACTAATATTAATTCTCAACATACTTTGACAACAAATTCAGGTGTTGTTTGCTTTCCACTGTCTAAACTACACATTAGGCCAATATTAGCCATATAAATTATTTCTGTATTTGTATTCATTAGTTGCATTGAACGAATATTTTTTGGTGGCCAAAATCGAAATTTCTGTAATAGATTGGCATATATTAAAGCAGGTTTACGTCCTCTCAATTGTATTCCAGTGCGATCTGCTAGACCAATTAATTGACTTGATTGAGTTTCATCTACAGGCCAGTCAATACGTGCACCATATTCTTCATATAATTTTGGTCTTATATTTAAACTGATCGGATTACCAGTTGAGATAAGCCATACAAAACAATCATCCAGTGGTACGCCTGCAGCAACTTGAGAAGAACTTGATGAATCAGAAACTGAAAAATAAATATAAACATCGAAGCAAAGGGTAAACAAAAATTCAAACTTTAAGCATTTTGAAAACAGTCCGTAATTAAAATTAATTGCTTAGTTTAGTGATTTGCGAAGTACAGTTTAATTTGAAGATATTTTTACTTATGGATTGGTTTCATGTGATGAAACGTTGAGATGCAAAGAGCTCTAGAAAATTAATTCTTTGCATGTTGAAACTCTTCAACAATGGACTTCAGCAATCACTCGAGAGATCAAACTCAAGACCTGGAGGTCTCGGAGCCAACATTGGAAAAATAATCCAGTGATTTACATTTCTAAATTCGACCGATCTGTGACCCCCCAATTTTATCGATGAGTTACTGCTCAACACTAAGTTTAATTGACTCTGAAAGCCTCAACGTCCTATTAAAGACAATCGATGTGTACACGACTGTTTCCAGGACTGTTCATAAGTCATGTTTAATGAGGTTACTGTGAATGTGATAGTAAACTAAACTTACATCGTTTGTTACGTTTGTCTGCATTGCTAAATAAACAGTTCTAGTTATAAGAAATATTTTTTCTTTTGTTATGTCCCAGTGAGTAAAAAAATTGTATTTCTAACGTTTTGTGACTTAATGCAAGCCATTTCTGTAGAGTAAGTAAATAAGTGAATTAAATTATCACGAATTGAAATAGTACAAAAGAAACAATACAGAATATTTTTATTACAATCAAAGTCATAATAGGTCCGAATATGTCAGTGTCAAGTTATTATTGGTCAAGGTGAATTTGTATGACCTGTCACTATTAATTTGTGCGTCAGAAGGTGATTATGAAAAATGTATGCATTTGTAATGTGAAGTAATGTGGTTGCAAATGAATGTGTGTGTAGATTGTATGGGGAATAGTCAAGGTAGAATATGGAATAGTTTGTCAACGTCTATACGAAAAAGAGTTGTTCACTCAATGCATACTTTTGAGCATATATTTTTCAACCTTAAGAAGTGATTTTAAAAAATTTAGGTCACAGTAATCAAATGAAGCTGTGAATCATTTTTTCGAAATGTTTGGATGTGCTTTTAACATATCAGTGTAATACAATAGGGTTGAAAAAAACATCAGATTAGATGCTCATTTATTCCACTTTCTCTTAATTATTAAGTGTCATATCGTTTAAGATCTTTGTCAATGTTCACTTCGATTTAATGAAAACATTCTAATATAGTAAACGACAACCTGGTGGGTAAAACCAATCTATTGTTTAAGGTAAAATGAAACAGTAGCTATGTAAAATATAAAAAGTATACATTAAATATATAATTTGCACATCTTCATTCAGTTTTCCTTTACATACTACATGATTCTTCCAATTCTGTTATTATTTCAGTTACTTCTACCTTCCCTTCCTGTTCTTTTCAATTCAGTCTTCTGCTAGCAGGCATTCCACTACTTGTTGGTGCTATGCACTACTTATATCTGTAAGAATGAGTAGCATACGCCTCACCAATAATCAGTCATACATTTACTTTATATTTTCCAATAAATAACAACGGAACCATCTGATTACAGAAGATTGACGTCCCCATAAAATTTTATATCAATTAAGTGAAAATTAAATCAAACATAGAAATTAGTCAAATGGAATTATAAAGCATGAAATGTTCCTTTTTGTTGTATCTCGAACTTAGAATTCTTAGTCTATCGCACAATACTTGAGCAGTCGAACGCTGGAACCCTCCAAGTCACAAATCAAAAGACAGAAGACAAGTAGAAGGAATGTTATTCCTGACAGTGTCGAATATGGTACAAAATTATCAGGTATTTATAGTCTTTAATAGAAACAAAATCATCATTATAGTTATTCAATCCGCAGACAGGGAGTTATCAGCATTGTCCAATAGGGGAGCTCCACGTGGCAATTCTGGAATATTCTTCCAAAAGCTGATTGAATGGAACATGTTGGGCTCCTTCTGGGCTTCCTAGAGCCTCCTCGACTTCACCTGTGGACCATCCTCACACTTTTAAAGAAAAGATTAACAACTTCCTTTTGTATTATGTAACAAAATTCTATATAGTGAGAATGTAAAACATTCACCTAACAAACTCCTACAAGGATATAGAAGAAATGATAGGCAAATAATGAATAAGAGAAGTGATAAACGCTGTTCCGTCAAGCTCTTTAGTACAACCACATACATTATAGTAGACTGTCGTTTTGCTTAAATTAGTGATATTTTGTATTAGTCTGGAGAAAAACAATGCGCGATTAAATTACCTTGTTCTGTTGGAAGTCCAAAACGAAGGTCTGAAAATAGAGGGATTCCAGGTGGATTAATAGGTGGCTCAGTGGTTACAATGTCTGACCCAAGAATTATTAACGATGGAGGCTGAAGTGGTCTCGAGTTTTTGTCATAATTGGCCCTTGTTCCCACTATAGCCTGAGATAAGCCTGGACGATCAAGAACATGCATATTAGCAGGAACCCATAAAGAAGTATCCTTGGTTGATTGAGAGATCTGATCGGATAAATCATGGTGAGATGTTCTCAAGATGTCCGTAACCGTCATAGGTAGAACATTTAACCTGATCTCCGCAGTTGGTATGACAAATGACTGATCTCCTGAGCATCTGATTTAGTTAATAGTGAAATAAAAAACAAAACTTTTTAAGTAGTTACGTCAAGAAAGATATATTTGCGTCCCCAATCGGGTATTTGCATTGTTTCAATGATTTTGTGTGCAAGCTCATAGAAAGACCAACTAATGACATAATGTGGCCATAATATGAGAAGCACGTAAGTAAAGTTCTTGACATTTGAAAGCATATGTATAAAACAATCTTAGTTGGTACTATATAAATTAATTACGAAATAATTTACCTGAGGGAAAAGGAATGTATTTTAATTAAAATTGCTTCGTCTAGGATCTATGTCAGGTAAGATAGTTTTCTTTTCAGACTGTGTAATTTCAAATTGAGTAATGACTCAATAAACATTTTCTTATCAGTCTTAAGGAATGCAACCATTAAACAAGTTACATTTTATACAGATCTTTATATGGTGTAGGCTAGTTAAAATTAGTTTTTGATTTGTGCAGGAAAAACTGTTAGTTGCGGCCGTAATCTTGATTGATTCGTCAATATGGAATAGTCTCATCATGATACTGTAAATCTTATATTATGCACATGTAAAAAGTTACTTGAAGTTGTCTAAAAAGAATATAAATCCAAAGTAACAAGTAAAAATCTACAGCAAATGTCCGTTGTCATTTTCTATCAATTTTATTGCAAAACTGATTTAAGAGATGAGAAAAAAAATCAGCTTATTTCTAGAAGACGAATTGCATTTTTAACAAATTTTTATCAAATTAATTTTGATAACATTAAAGAAAAATTATTCAACTATAGTGATTTTTAGTACGGGGTTGTAAAGATTGTTGAATATCATTGAAATCATGTACTGATCAATGTTAGAGCACCATTGAAAATCTGGAAGTATACCATATAAAAGTTTAATGGATTAACATACTTATTTTCCATGCATCTTTCAAAATAACGAAAAATTTCTAAAACAAATTAAATGGTGTAATAAGAAGACGAAGATTATCAGGACTATTTGATATATATTAGCGCGACGCATTTCGAACAATCTGACCACACATATACTTGTTAAGAACATTTATATATAAAAACAAAAGGTCAAGTAGATTGGAAATGGGGGGTAAAAGGAGACAAGGATAATAATAATAATAATGTGAAAAGAATTTGACACCTGTTTACTCTGGATGATAAGCTAATATTACCAGGGTAGGTTACAAGTGTTAAATCCATCTTTACATACTTTTAACTAAAAATTAACATCATCTTATTAACTAAGGCTTAAAAAATGACAAGTTCAAATAAAACAAACAACATATACTACTCACTTTAGATCAGATCTAATTACATTACATATGTACATTTATATTAGGTATAATTTGAATGCAAATAATCTTGATAAAAACTCCTACAATTTAATACACATCTAATGTTACACTACATTGGCGGCCTGTTTAAACATCTGGGCTACCTAGGTATCATTACCAAGTTTTGATTTGATAATTTTGAATAAATTGAGCATTGGGTGGATTGTTATAAATAAATTAATATATTTATAATATCCCAATGAGTAGAAAAATTAGATTTTCTGACGTTTCGTGACTTAGTGTAAGCCACTTCTTCAGAGAATAAATAACCAAATTAACATTAATCCAAGTTTAAATAGTACAACGGAACAATCCAAGAATATTAGGTGATCAATCAAAAACAGGTCTGAATAGATCAATGTCATGTCATTTCATTTCGTTCAAAGTGATTCATAAGGGATATGTATGTAATTTTGTGTGTATGTATGCATTGTTAATGACGAAAAATGTGTGACCTTTGTAATGACAAAGGATAGGGTTTAATTTGTAATGTAATGGTGTGAAATTGTTTTGTTGTACTATTTAAACTTGGATTAATGTTAATTTGGTTATTTATTCTCTGAAGAAGTGGCTTACACTAAGTCACGAAACGTCAGAAAATCTAATTTTTCTACTCATTGGGATATTACAAATATATTAATTTATTTATCTGGGCTACCTGTTCCTGTCATCAAGATATTTCAACAAGTTATCTAATTTCGTTTGTTTTAATACATCAATATGCCTATTAATCGCACAACCTATTCAGGTGCGTTTCTGAAAAGTGTAAAACCTTTCGCTGTAAAGGTTATAGAAGACCTAATCAGAGATATCGTGGTTGCTGGCAATATGCAGCGAGAAGAATGTATATTATTCAGATGTCGATTGACTGGGCTGCTAACCTCTAACTGGCAATCACTCAGTATTTATCGTCAGGAAGGACGAAGAAGTAAGAAACGGAAATTTGTTGAAGTACTTTGTGCTAAGAATTCTATATTGTACCAAAAATATAATATTGAATAAAGCTAATAATAATAATTGAATAAAGTCAAAAACTTACTAATTAAAGTGTCATGATGTAATAATTAAAAATACAATTTAGTCATTCATTAATTACAACTACATTTTAAACAATATTATAACATTGAACATCACTTTGATGCACTCGATAGATCGAATATAATAATATTTGTCATTAGTAAATAAGTTTACTTGTAGACAATATAAAATCAGGTAAGCAAATTTATGCGTCACTTATTACAGTACATGATCCATGTTTAATATCATGACTGAAAGAACTCATGAAAAGATTGTTGAAGCAGAAAATAATTCATAGAAGCTTGAAAGGTTAAAAAAGTCGTATAAACTACGTCATTGAAGTGGGGTATAGGTATAAGTTAACTACTAATTAATTAGGTAAATCAAATTACAATCTTGTTTGAATATGACTGTTGAATGTCTTATGATGGATTACTAAATTTTTCAAACTAAAGACATCATGCATTTATTTGCACTTTCCTATCGAAATGTTCTCCCCGTAGATAACCATCAACATCCATATGGGAAATCGTATACTTTCACATTTAGGCGATATTTGATTTGAGTAGAACAAGCTGTTAATACTTGAAGCTAACAGAACAAATTTATGCGGTTTTTTACAGTTTTGATCAATTCATTCCACATAAGCATAAAATATTTAGAATATTTTAAGAATGCAATGCACTGATTTAACCTTTCTGAAAGAGATCATTTCCAGAACTCAGTGATTTGTCATAAGTTACTTTAAACAACTACATAGAATTTGTAAAGAGTTTTATTCATCCAAAACTTATTTGGTCAACAACTTTAAAAAAGAGAAATAAAGTTTAATTACCTATATGATGTTAATAATTTCAATAGACGAGCTTGTGCCACATTTGGCATATAATTCACACTGACTCCTGGTTGAGGTCTAGCATAGGAAATTGAAGTTAATACATCAGTCAAATGCATTATGTTTTGTCCGCTCACGGTGATTACATCATTCTCTAAATGTATGTCAATATCTGGACATAATACCTATGAAAAAGTAATTTGTAGAAAAATATAATCTTATAACAATGTAATAAGAATAGTAAAACAACTAATAAGTAGAGATGGATGGTGGTTAGCAGTGTAATCCAGAACGTGTGTTTTGTCCTACTATGGGACTCGTCATCTGGATGTACCTGCATATGACTCAAGGTAAAATCGAGGCAATCCACACAGGATGTTCATATGCTAATAAGAGACTGACTAATTCCAGTCCTTATAACCGATAGGAAGATAAAAACAACCAACACGAAACTACATTAAAACAACTAATAGTTTAAAAAATTTATCGTTAAATCATACGAATTTAGTTGTCTATCAGTAAATTTAATATAGAATTAATATTGTAACACCATTTGAACTGGAAAATAAACCCTTGCATTAATTAACTCTTTACTGAGTCACATCACATTATGTAATAAAACAGCTTTTGATCTTATTTAAATGTTCAAATACTGTTGTCATCTAGCTAGGTGAATAGATGATAAGTAAATGTTTGTATTTTCTCATAAGTAGTGTTTAACCAAGTATTTTCGTTTAATTTTACTATTTTTCTCTTATTAATGCTTCGACGTGGTATGATATTTATATTGATGTATATGTTTGACTGAATAACTGACTGATAACTTTACATAAAGTTAACACTAATTGATTGCTTTTATTTCATTTAGACTTGATTCATGATATTAGGTTGTGTAGTGTAAAAAAAGTACATTTATTAAGGTTTGTTTCTTCTTAGCATTATCGACATACCTTGATTTAAGTAGTAAATTAAATTCAAGTGACGAGTCGATGAACACTAGGAGGATACTCTTCAGTGAAAAGTTGTCGTTGTACACTACATTAAATTATTGCTCAGTCCGGTGATCCTTTTTCGGTATTGATCTATTCGATATAGTAGTAAGTATAATTATTGTTCATCATTGATTATTTACTGAGTCACAACGCTAAATATGTAATTTTTCTATTCGAACAACCCAATAGCAAGTCACTAATTCGATCTGGACTACTTACAATATGATAACCAGTTAATGTTAATAGTTTTATTGATTTTTATCCGTTTTTGTATTGTGCTAGTGTCATATAATTTTTTGAAGTAATTTAAGACTAATACGTTAGAGGTTAACTTCTTCCAATTTCGTAAAATTAAATTACAAAGTTTAAATTATCAAACTTGGTTATGTTTCATCATACAATTCATAAACATAAGCAACGAAAAATCATAATAAGAAGTTATCAGTGTAGAGGTTTGTTGTGATGTAGTATTGCACTATCGGATATCCAGTAAATGATATCAAAGTCAATATCTCGTTCGGAGATCTAAATATCCTAGGTTCGATCCCCGATAGTGATGTGCATACTTACTGCTAAAGAGTTTCACACAATATTGAAATAGCTGTTCATGATTTCCTGAATTTCAGTGATTGTCTAAGGTCAATCCATGTTGTAAACTGTGAGAAACTTATGTAATAAATTTTATCTTTTCTAAAATGTAAAAAACTATTACTTATTTACTTCCTTACGCCTGTTACCCCTCGTCGAGAAGCATAGGCCGCTCACCAGCATTCTTCATCCAACTCTGTCCTGAGCCTTCCTTTCCAGTTCTTTCCAGTTGCTATTCAGCCTTTTCATATCGGCTTCTATTTCCCGACGTAGTGAGTTCTTTGGCCTTCCACTTTTCCGCTTCCCTTCAGGATTCCAAGTTAGGGATTGAGTCGTGATGCACATTGGTGATTTCCTTAATGTATGTCCGATCCACTTCCAACGTCTTTCTCTAAATTACTCTTCAGCTGGAAGCTGGTTTATCCTCTCCCATAAAACGCTGTTGCTGATAGTATCCGGCCAATGAATGTTGAGTATTTTGCGTAAACAACTGTTTATAAATACTTGTACCTTCCTGATGATGGTCGTAGTAGTTCTCCACGTTTCAGCTCCATACAGTAGGACTGTCTTGACGTTCGTATTAAAGATTATGACCTTGAAATTGGTTGAGTGTTGTTTTGAGTTCCATATGTTCTTCAATTGTAGAGATGCTGTCCTTGCTTTGCCAATCCTCGCCTTTACATCTGCATCCGATCCTCCTTGTTTATCAACGATGCTCCCCAGGTACTTGAATGTTTCCACCTCTTCCAGGGTTTCGCCATCAAGTGTGATTGGGTTGGTGTTCTCCGTGTTGCATTTGAGAATCTTGCTTTTTCCTTTGTGAATGTGAAGGCCTATCGATGCGGAGGCTGCTGCTACATTTGCGGTCTTCATCTGCATTTGTTCGTGTGTATGAGAGAGGAGGGCTAGGTCATCTGCGAAGTCCAAATCATCTAATTGATTCTGAGCTGTCCATTGTATTCCGTATTTCCCCTCAGATGTCGAATTCTTCATAATCCAGTCAATCACTAGAAGGAAGAGGAATGGGGAGAGTAGACAGTCTTGTCTGACTCCGGTCCTTACTGGAAATGCATCTGTCAGCTGTCCTCCATGCACCACTTTGCACTGTAGTCCATCGTATGAGTTTTGGATAATGTTGACGATCTTCTGAGGAACTCCATAGTGTCGAAGAAGTTTCCATAATGTTCTCCTATCCACGCTGTCAAACGCCTTGTCATAGTCGATGAAGTTGACGTATAGTGATAAGCTCCACTCAACTGATTGTTCCACGATGATCCGTAGTGTCGCAATCTGGTCTGTGGACGACCGATCCTTACGGAATCCAGCCTGGTGATCCCTATGTTCGGCGTCCACTGCGTCTTTCATCCGATTCTGTTGAAGACTTTTCTTGGTACTGATAACAAACTGATACCTCTGTAGTTCTCACATTTGCTCAGATCTCCTTTCTTTGGTATCTTGATGAGATATCCTTCTTTCCAGTCCATTGGCACTTGTTCCTCTTCCCAAATCTTTTTGAATAGAAGGTGAAGCATGTTTGCAGTTATTTCAATGTCTGACTTCAGTGCTTCTGCTGGTATATTGTCAGGTCCTGCCGCCTTCCCACTTTTGATTTGTCTGATGGCCATCTTGACTTCTTCGATCGTTGGTGGAGTGACATCTATTGGAAGGTCAGTGTGGGCTGCTTCGATGTTCGGTGGATTCAATGGGGCTGGTCTATTCAGCAGTTCCTCGAAGTATTCTGCCCATCTTTTCCTCTGTTGTTGAATCTCAGTGATTGTCTTTCCTTCTTCGTCCTTGACTGGTCTCTCTGGTTTGCTATATCTCCCTGCCAATTTCTTTGTTGTATCATATAGTTGTTTCATATTCCCTTCTCTTGCAGCTTTTTCCGCCGTCGTTGCTAGTTCTCCCATGTATTTCTGCTTGTCGGCTTTAATGCTTTTCTTCACTTCCCTGTTTGCTTCTGCGTAGTCTGCTTGTGCTTCGACTTTCTTTGCTCGTGTTCGGCTGTTGTTAATTGCTAGTTTCTTGTTCTTCCTTTCTTGAATTTTGTCCAGGGTTCCCATAGAGATCCATTCCTTGTGGTGATGCTTTTTAGGACCAAGAACCACCTGACACGTTGAAGTTAGTGCTTCTTTTATCCCTTTCCAGTTGTCCTCCAAAGTAGTTTCTTGTTCTTTCAGTAGATCCTGTAGAGCCTGGAACCTGTTGTTGAGAGTTATCTTGAATTCATTGAGCTTGTCAGTATCTCGAGGGAAGGCTATATTGAACCTTTGTAGTGCTGTTTGTCCAGTTGTCCAGTGTTTCTTTAGCTTCAGTCTCATCTTGGCCACAACCAGGTGGTGATCTGAAGCTATGTCAGCTCCTCTCCGGGTTCTCACATCTTCCATTGATCTTCGGAATTTTTTGTTGATACTGATGTGATCTATCTGGTTCTCTGTGGTTTGATCCGGTGAGATCCATGTAGCTTTGTGTATGCGCTTGTGCGGGAATAATGTGCCGCCTATAACCTATTTGTTGAATGCACATAGGTTTGCAAGTCTCTCCCCATTTTCATTTCTTTCTCCTAATCCATGTCGTCCAATTACATCTTCATATCCTGTGTTGTCCACTCCAACTTTAGCATTTAGATCTCCCATCAGGATGGTGAGGTCCTTTCGTGAGCACTTCTCTATAATTGATTGCAGCCTTTCATAGAACTGATCTTTATCATCGTCGTTGCTATCATTGGTGGGTGCATAACATTGGATAACGTTCATTGTGATCCCTTGCTTCTTTGTTCTGAATGATGCTTTGATTATCCTGGGTCCATGAAATTCCCATCCCACAAGTGCATTTCTTGCTTCTTTGGACAGCCTTAGAGCAACTCCTTGAGTATGTGGAGCATTTTCCTCCTCGTGACCGGAGTACAGCAGCATCTCTCCTGTACCTAGCCTTTGTTGTCCAGTTTGTGTCCAATGGATTTCGCTGATTCCGAGTACTGCCAAGTTGTATCTCCTCATTTCCATTGCTATTTGGCTGGTCTTTCCTGTCTCCCACATTGTCCGGACGTTCCATGTACCTATAAAGAGTGTTGCTCTGGTTGTTAGAAGGTGCATCGGACTCGTGACTTCCAAAGAATTTCGGCTTTGATCATGAGACGTCATAATTATTCCTTCAACTCCCAGGGCAGAGTTTAAATGGTTTGGATGATTTTTTCTGGTTAGCGTTTTTTTAGCGAGTTAGCTTTTCTACGGTATGGGTTCGCTAACCCCATGCCCAACCCTCCTCCTTTACCCGGACTTGGGACAGGCAGTAACTCTAGAAGAGCTACAGGCGGAGTTGTAAAAACTATGTTATAATAAATTTCAGCTTTCATTGTGCTACGAATATTGCAACATTTACAATCAATAAATTGGTTGTAGTATAAATGTAACATAATGATTGAAAACTAAATGAAATTGAATCAAAAGTTACCTCCATAACATTTGGAATGAGTAAAGCTTCACCACATTGACTAATACATCTTAATGTATTTGGAGATTCAATTTTTTCACGTAACAATGTGAAACCAGTCAAATCACCATGTAAATGTTGTCTTGTTAAATGTGTCTGAGGATCATAACATGCACCAATTGTAAGTCTGTAAAAATTTAAGGAAAATAAATAATATTTAGTAAAGTGAAATAATAATTGCGATAGTAATCAAGTTTTCTTACTTTTAACAATATTTAACAAACATATAAAGGTGTCATAATGTAAAAAAGGAAAATAGTAAATAAATTTTATTGCTAAACAACCATAGTAGCATTAAGCTTATCTGTGGTTCGACCGACTTTAATGTACTGAGTTAAATTACCCCCCCCCCTGTAATTATAATAAGTACTATTAAGGAATGTTAGTTTTTTTCAATCCTAAATACTGATTGAACTTTACCGAACAAGTTTCTGTTTGTAGCTAATCTAAGTAATTTGAAATCGCCTTATGCTGTATTTAGCATTAAGGAGGTGCAGACGATCAACACAGTACTATCTATCTAGTAATTATGAATAAGCTTCCCACTTGTTATAAATAAATGAGATGGGGTACTTATCTTTTTTTTTACACAATCTACAGAATCGAAAAGTTTTTAACCTTATTTTCATTTACGATCTATCATTTGTTTGTTTATTAGGTCACTCCTCTTGATCATTTTAACAGCCAATGCATAAAAAAAATCAACAAACATTATTGTTTGAGTATGTTTAGTATATGGCTATGAGTGAAATCTATGACTCACATTTAGTCATATTCGAGGCTCGAGCACGGTATCTTTTATTTCAAGCGCTTAACATATTTTTCACTGGTCTTTTGGGTTTGAATCTCAGTGTAATTATCAACACTGATATGCAGATAGATCCAGTTTGCGAATCGCGAATAGGGCAAAAGGCGCATCCCTGATTCCATTACTAGCTACATATAAAATATATTTAAACTAGTAATTAAAGGCTATTTAGGATTTACATACAGCAACAGAGACTGATTAATTACAGTTCTCTATATCAACAAAAAGGAATTGCAAACCATTACTGAAATACTGTCGTTGCTTTAGTTATCGTTCTGTTCAATGTTTACTTCACATAACAAAGTAACTGATATCATTTTGAGAACAACTACAAACTGATGAGGATTCTTCGGTTACTTGTATGCTATTCTTGATTTTTATTTATTTATCATTTCATGTGGATTAGTTTATGGGTAACATCATTGCCAAATGATAAAATTTGTTGGCAGGTGTAATTTACACATGTTAGGAATTATATTAGTTTCTAGAATAAATTTTTCTGCAGAAGATGCACTTCAATCTTTTATATATATGTATATATATGTATACATAATAGGAAATATTTCCAAGTTAGTATGAGCTAAAATGAGGGATCTGGCAAAATAGTTCATCTCGTAACGGTAATTATTTTAGTTTGTTTCCTAAATTAGGTTTACCATCAACATCTTAGTAACTCTTACGGTAGGATGTAGTTTTAAATTATTTTTCTTAGAGGTAGCAAGTAATGTAACAAAACTCAAAAAATATTAAAGTAAGTAATAACAAACTCTCAGTGGCCCAATTATTTGTGGAATGTACTGAGATATACAAAAGTGATGCAAAAAAGTGTTTAGTAAGATGTAAATTCATACAAAGTTTTGATTTAACGTATATTTCAAATCTGAAAAAGACCACTTCTTAATTTGCAATTTTCAGTCCCATTTATCGCTATCATATTCTCATCTGTTGGCAACAAATCGTCGTACATATAAACAGGATCACAAATGCCAACTTCAACATAATATGAAAAAATGGAGTTATGTAATAATAGGTTACTGATAGGTTACTAACAGGTTACTTCTGCAAATAAATTATATTTTCTTTAACTGAGAAAAACTGAGTAACCTCATGCAAATATAAAAAAGAAACAAAAATCAGTTATTTAGAAAAGTTAAACGTGGTTTCAGAGATAAAGGATTGTCGCTTTGTTAAATCTACGGTGATTTTGTTCATTTTGGTGGCTTGAGCAAGTGAATTAATTTATATTACTATTTATTGGCAGGTCTTCAAAATATCAAGTTACTAAATCAGTTATTTTAAAACTATATTTCAATGTATGCTACCAAAATATTATTGAAGAAACAACCAGAATAATTAATAGTTGATCTTTGGATTTACAATAGGGAACTGATCACTTTTGAGTTACTGAAACCATTTTACTGTTAATTAATACCTATTGATTTTACAAGTCACTGTTTATCCGGACTCAGTAGCTAAGTGTATAATGTGATAGGGTTTGAAAGGATTCGAGTTCCGGAGTGGATATCAACTTCGGAATGTAGTTACACCCAGTCTGTGAGTTCAAAATAGGACAAAATGTATGTCTGCTAGCCACCATCCATGTCTGCTCATGACACTTTGCTTTTAGCTTCTGAAGTCTGAAGTTATTCTTGTTTACTTATTGAATAAAAATTTGACTTCATTCTTTTCCTCGTGTTTTTAATATTTGTTATAAAAAGAAATTTTAATTTGTGGGACTTAGATTTCATTTAAAACATACCTCGGTTTTCCTTGATAGCTGAAAGGATTTGAAGAGGTTTGTAATGATTCATAAACAGTAGGCATAGCCTTAATATCTAAATCTTGTCCATCTATTAAAATGGTAATCGGATCGTTGCTTATTGCAGATGATGAAGATGAACTGAATGTGATTGCATAATGATGCCATATTCCATCATCATGACCGGTAGTTTGAGAACAAATCTCTTCTGGTAACGGATCGAATACAAAAAGTGTAGATTTTTTCGGTTCATTACTTGTGGACGACATAATCCTTACTACAAATCGACATCCATGTAAATTTATCGATAAATATCTCCATTCTGATTCTTTAACATGAAAATAAACATAGTTTAAATTGACTCAGTTTATGATATATGCGTGAACTATTCTATCAACTCAAATTAACATCAAGTGCAAAAGTAAAATAAACCAGCAGATACAGTTATCATTTAAAATGATACAGAGAGAATAACATTTTTCAATCAAGGAAAACCTGGAAGCACTGGGTGGCCGTTTCGTTCTATTGTGGGACTCCTCAGCAGTGCGCATCCACGACCCCACCTCGTGAGATTCGAACTCAGGACCTACCAGTCTCGCACCAGAGCACTAAACTGATAGGCTGGTAGGTCCTGAGTTCGAATCTCACGAGTCGGGGTCGTGGATGCGCACTGCTGAGGAGTCCTACAATAGAACGAAACGGCCGTCCAGTGCTTCCAGGTTTTTCTTAGTGGTCTAGCTTCAACTGACTCATGCTTTCAACTAAGAAAATACTAAATCTCCACAAAACTACTTCTAATTTTTCAATCACACTTCCTTTTGACAGTAAAAAACTATAGAATTGTTAAGTGAATAACAATAGTTAATTAGTAAATTTAATTCAACCTTTTTCATTACTAATCAACAAAATATAGATTCGTATATTTGAGAATAAAACTAAAAACCACACAGTAACTCAGGAATCGTGTTATTAATTCCAAACCTTTTTTTACTTTTAAATAAACAAGTTTCTTAAGTTTAAATAAATTAAATTAAATTTCAACATTCAAAGCATATATATATATATATATATATATATATATATATATATATACAGATATCAGAATTTTCTGGCTTAAAAATCACAATTAGATGTGTGATTGAGATTGTTTAAGACAATGATATGTCTAAAATACCGTAAAGTATGTTCAGTTGAATAGTTAACAAAGTGATATTTGTGCTCATGATATTTATGAGACTTGTTTAATATTAAGCGCTTTGAAAGTTCATTTGTTATATTTCAGTCAGAATAAATGATTCTGTACTTTTTTGTCAGATATGTGTATAAATAGGCTTTATTATGTGAAATAGATTTGAAAAACAATGCTTGTTTAAGTGTCCAATCGTTATTTGACACGTTTTTTTTAGGAGGATATATATGAACATATCAGTGAATACAAGATAAATTCGCGTATAAATGTAAATAAATTAGTTATTTAATACCGGTCAATGTTCTGTCTAGTTCTAAGTGTTGGTAGAAGGTAATTGATCAGCTTTCAGTTTGTTCATCCTATGAAGTGAATTGAAATCAAGATTCTCTTTCTTCGATATTAAGTATATGGAAGCAGTTGATAGAAATTCATGGATACGAATTTATGACCAGTTAGCGCTAATCAGTAAGATGTACCTACAGTTTTAGCGGTACTGATATTTCTTTAAGGGCTCAGTCATGAGTCATTTAGTGGTACAAGCATACAACATGGTAACTGCTTCAAAATTTAACTAATATAAATTCAGTTAGAGCTAGAAATTCTAACTCTGGTTACTGTTAAGGAATCAATAAGTGTAAACATCTAAGTCTGAGAGAATGTGTATAGTTGTTCAAAAGGCATAGTGATAATACCTCTATGAAACTAGATTTAAATCTTAAAAACAGCGTTAATTTTCTTGTGATATAATAAAAAGTGTCAACATGCAAGTCATATTTTATTTAGAATGTTTAAGATGCTATTGATAAGTAGATCAACAGAAAGTGATTCCTACCTCTAATTTCACTTTCGCTTGAACACAACAAGCACATTTTAAAGAGAACTATTCTCTATCAATAACTTACGAAACAAAGAATAAGAAAGTAAACTTGACCAAAGTAACGTGTAGTTTGAATATGATTTTCATGGGAAACTGGTATCAGTAAAACAATTTGTGATAACTAAGTAGAAATGGGCAATGGTTTTGTCATAGTTTCGAGATTTACAGAGGTTAGCACTCAGGACCTTGAGTGAGATCTACTTCATGACTTCTAAATTTTAGGTTAAACACAGATCATTACATCACTGAGCCAGAATTCGGTAGTGCATACTTCCAACTTCCGACTAATTGCTATACAGCACAACCACTGTTCAGTGTCATCGTTAATATCTGCACGGCTTTCCACACGATTGCATTCAGTCGTCACAACCCATTATTTCATTAGTATCATGATCCTTAATAGACTCAAAGATCCTACGTTCGATTCTTAATCAAATCCCTGGTGCGCACCACCAACGAGTCTCAAACTAGTATAAATTAATTAACTGGTTAGTTATGGTTCTACTGCCAGTTTTAGTTTATGGTTGGACATATTTCCGAGTCAAATAAATATCTTGACAACAATTTCCAGTAAATAAGTCAGTTCACACCTGATAGCTATATATTCTCTTCTCTATCCCATTTGTGTATTATTTAATAATCAGCTGCAAATAAAATGACCACAGTTTATATTTGAACTAGAACTTGGTTAGATATAAAATCTGATAAGTTATAAAATTACATTTAGAATCATCTAAAGATTAGACAGCTATTCAAAGTGATTATTTTATATTCACTAACCAATATTATCATGACTACAAAATATTGATTCTTCATTCTCATCATTATTTGATACTTTCAAATTGTTTTGCAAATGATGTCGTCTAAGCCAGAATGACATGGTAAAATCTGAATCCCATTTAACTGGCAATCTTGTATTATTAAACAGTCGATCTGCATCAATCTCCCATACAGTCGATAAGGTTGGATCAAATCGCCAAGCAAGCAGTGATGGAATTAAACGTGGTGGACTATTCAGCACTGGTCCAATCAACTGGTTCACTAAATCATACTCAGGATCAGGAAGAAGATTTGTAATGGTTATTGGATCGAGACCTAAATGTAATATATTCATATATTTCTTTTAGACGAGTTCAGTTTAAAAAAATGTTAAAACTGTAAAATTATACTTACTGAATTTCATCAAAGATATAATGATACATAATGATATGTATTTCAGTCTACTGCTTCGATTTTATGCAATTCATGAGTATTTGATCAAAAGTAATTCACTGTAAAAAACTAGTCTCCTAAAGTTGATCTAGTGTAGATGCTAATAAAAACCAAGCTTTCGAACGATGAAATAGTGAATATATAAATAATGATATTATGTCAATCATTTTATCAGTTATAGGCTTAAATATTTGGTTTTCAGAAACACTGTTTGGGATAAGGTTAATGTTACTATTTAACTTATCAACTTAAAGTAGGTGGAGTTAGGTTTCAACCTATGAACATGGTGAAGCCTAGTAGGCCCTTTTGGAGAAAAGTGCTACATCGAAGCACGGCACAACTACCGGGGCGGGATAGCTGTTTTTGCACTGCTTACGCAGAACCATTACATAACACTCACATTCGTTTTTTAAATTTTTGGGTAGACTCATTTTTTATCATAATTTAGAACTCTTTGTAGCATTCGTAATCGTTTGCGGGTAAAGGTAGAGTGGTTGGTTAGGCCGATCTCCACCACCCACATTACCGCTCACGTTAGTACATGGGATGGTTGCCATGATCCAGAAGGCACGACGAAGAAGTGTGCGTCGGATTTTGTAATTTTTCTATTACCAAATGATGTTCAATTAATTATGAGTCCTAGTCACACTATTCAACTGTTGCCTTAGAAATAAATGCGAACTGGTAATATAATATAAAATTATATAAATATAGAATTAAGTGATCATAATAGGTTGATAAACAAATTATCCAATGAAGATGAATAATTAAACCAACATTTTATAACAGAATATTTGATTAAAGTTATTTGTGTCATTTAAACAATATATTTAAACTCCACATAAAGTGTTATAAAGGAATTTACCGCAAAATTTCTGCTGCCTTTTTATACTTGTTGGATCATGTCGACAGGATTGTGGATTAGCTGTAACTAGATTCTGACCAATTACAGCCGATCTAAGTTCCAACCGAGTCTCTATAAATGGATTAGCACATGGACCAGTACATGTCTCCAAGTGTAAACTCGAATGCATAAATAAACGTTCAGGTTTTTCTTCAGATCCAAGAAATTCAATATCACTTGGTAAATCTATTTATCAAAAACAATAGAAAATATAGTTTACAGAAAAGATTTTAGTTAAATTATTACGTCTTTAAATTTCTATTTAGGATTCAGCATAGACAATGGAATCAATAGAAACTTCTTATTAATTACTAATGCAGGTTTGATTATATAACATTCAATGATCAGGTAATTGTAAATATCTCAGTCATACAGTCGGTCAGTCACAAACCAAACAACTCACTATTAACGTCTCAGAGTGTAAATTTGGGTGACGCTGAATTAAATCTCAAATGGACTATTAGTTCCGCCAAGGTTACAGAAACATCTCGCTGATGAGTACCAACTAGCGCAAACCTAAGTTTGTGGTTTCCTACCGACTATCTTCAACCATCTTGCTTCTCAACAGAATGAACGCGATATCGAGTCACTTAGACTAGTGGGTACATTAGTGCTTCACCGATAGAACTTGATCAGTACTAAAAGATAATCATGAAATCGGTCACCACTCATTGATCAATCGACTGTATATTTATTTCGTTTGGTTGATAAATGATCTACAATCATTCAAGTGTTTTGAATTTTACAGAATCATTTCAAATTTTATGTTATTAAAATGAAACAAGTTTTAGATATTTTCTAATATTCATTCATATAAGAACTTCGATTCCTGACTGCATTATATATAGTATTATATATAGTATTAGAAGCATAGACTTCAAGAAAAGTGACTACATTTCTACAGGTTATCCTTTTTTTAATGCTTATTCCATAACATTTGTTTTTCATGTAAATGAAGTGAATAATTTTGCTTGTTTTTGGAATCTCGTTTAACAGATATTTGAAGTTCTGTTAGATTTATGAAAAATCAATTACATTAAAGACTTTTTCTCATTGGATTCATTTATTGTACGGAATAGAATAACTCTAATATGTGCATTATTTCTTGTTATTGTATGAGTTTGAATAGATAGATAAATTTGTTTAAAAATAATTTTTGAAATTCGAAGTCTTTCTAAGAAAATCACTTTTATCATCTTCATTGTTTAACCTTTACAAAATTTAATTAGTATATTTCTAAAATTAAAGGCAATGATAAAATAATACCAATTACTTTGTAATAATTTTGATATACTTCACAAACTATATGACATTTTATTAACTTATCCGAGACTAATAAAGTTCAACTAAGAGATATAGATTGCACGTCCATAATGATTTTGATCTGTATAATCGAAATAGTATGCAATTATTTGGTTTATCTTGACTATGAGTAATAATTTCTGGAAGAAAGACTAGCCCCGGACTGTATTAATTATTCAACATTATTCTCTTCACTAGTTAAGTTACTTATTAGTTTGATTCAAAATGGACTCATTCTAGTGAAATACGTCAATTACTTATCTTCACCGTTACTGATTTTTTACTGAATTAAACGCTGTCTCGGTAATCACCAGTCCTCCATTAGAACGTGTGATAATGACTTCTTGAGAGCTTATTATTCCCTCAGAATGTTTTAAACTTGAGTATCTTAAAAGATTAGTTTATAAACAGATATCAAGGGAATTTACAGGTTTATGAGTGGCCATGACATTCTAGAAGATTCTAGTAACAAAAAACTGATCATTTGATAAGAATTTCTGGAAACTTTTAACTGGATGCTGATTGCGCGCATAAATAGAGGGAAACACTATTATAACTTACTGGTGACATGACCTATTGATATGCGATCTCGTCTGGAAACCACTTTAGGTATCAATTAATTTTTTCCCCATTATGACGCAATCAATCGATCGGAAAACCCTAGGAATAGATTGTATATTCTGCACTTAATGTAAATCAACGCCTACACCAAAGAGGAGAAATTTTACATTACTAACTCATTTGTCACAGTTAGTTGAGATGATTCAGTTTTAGAGAAATATCAATTCACACCAAGTTGGGTGGATCATAATCTCGTGGTAGCACATTGTTGTATCAGTATTCTTACTGAATAATGTTATTATTGTATAAAAAATAAATGCATTTGGTTTTACAATATGAGTGAATAAAGTGCTATTTCATTGAAATATCAGAATAAGCATTTATTGGTTATTAAACAAATAATCAAAGGATAATTATAGACACATATGGTGGTATTTGAATTATGAATTTATTTAAGAACACTTACTACACAGACAGTAATGATAGATTAGTACAAAAAGTCGGGTGATATAGTTAATTTGTACAACAGTAGAAGGATAAATCAAACATATTCAAAAGTTGAATCAGATTATTCACTTAGATTTATTACCAAAGGAAGCTTGAGTAGATTGTTGAGTTTCATAAATTACATTACTGATTAACTTCAGTCAAACAATTACTAAAAACTGAAGAGGCACAAAACAGTTGTTTCATTCCGATATTGAACTCCTTAGCAATAAGCATCTCATAATAGGACAAAACAGCTGTTTAGTGTTTTTCTTGGTTTTCAGTGGTCGCTTGACCAAGGTCATTCAGTGATATGATATTTTAATTTATTTTAATAATAACTTATTGAATATGGTTAGTGTAAACATGAATATAAAAAGACGTTAATGGTATTTCAAAACTCCAGACATCATCAGCCGATAAAATTGACCTTTATAAAGTGTCAGAAATTAAAACTGATAAGTATAACATAATAAGTAGATGGTTCACAGCTTAAAAAATCACATTAGTATAGCTTTGTAAGTTATTGATGAAAATAACCAGTTGGCTTACAAAACAAATCAATGGAGCTATTACTTGTGTGCACTTATTCTTTTCATGTCTCACAAACTATTTCTACCATACATTGATCTTAAGCATACGTATAAACATAGGTTCATGAATAATAAAATGCAACCAGTATATATATATATATATTGCTTTGCGGTAGGTGGTATCACAGTTAAGATGGTAATAATAAAGGTGTCGTGTAACGATAGAAAAGCATAATTTGAAAAACCTGAGTAGGTGAGTGAAAAAGTCAGTCAATAGAAAAGATCCTCTGAGTGAAACGAGAACCTACATATGATATATATAATGTTGGTGATCATTCTCTAGCAAAAAATGAAGATAATCCTTCAAGCAAGATCATGAAATAACTATATGAGTAGTAAAAACAAGTGTAATCAAAGTGGAGGTAAAACTCATGTAATTCGCCGATTAAGTATTGATCAAATAAAGCTAGACAGAAATAAATTTATCAAGTCCCCCATGAAGGGATTTTTCTGAGACTCATTTAGATTACGGGTGATATTTTTTAAAGGTTAACCACAGTTGGGATACCACTGAAGTCAAAAAGACACTGTATAAGTGCTACTTTCTAGTATGAAACTCTTTAGTATTGTCCTCCTATGACACTTCAGGACCTCTAAGCTTTTCAATAAGTTGTCACCCATTAGAAAATTTGATCAGCATACTAAGATTAATATTTCAACTTGAATCACTTTGCGATCTGATGCCAATTGGACAAACTGTTTCACTCCTGGAATGAGTAAAATCAGAGTGACTCACTAAAAGTTCAAGAGTTGATCATGAGGTGAGTTACCAATGAACACAAGATCATAGCATTGGAGATAATTTAGCAGCTTATTCATGAAGAAAAAGCGGATTCATTAAATAAGACCTTTTACTTGTCACTCATCAATATTGGCTTTTAAATAAGCAAGTGTTCTACTGTACACTATTTTTCTGAGATTCTTATAAGAAGTAATATATTCATTTATATAATATATAGCTGATATAATCTTAATTAAATTGTTATATATAATCTTATTCGAACATTGTAAATAAAAGTATGCGAATTGTCTGTAATAATTGTTATCATCTTTCTTAAATTTACTTTGATAGGATATTACAAATGTTACCGTGACAAAAAAATTAAACATGTTTCATAGTGAGTGAGTTGTATCAACAAATCGTGAACTAAGAATAAAGTTACAAATGTTCAGAAGTGGTTTTGTGGAGGTTTCAGTATTTTCGTAGTTAAGATGATCAGTCAATTGAATCTAGACGACCATGGAAAATCTGAAAGCATTGAAAGGCCGTTTCGTCCAATTGTGGGACTACTGAGCATTCCTCAATACCGTCGGATGCCTGCTCAGTGATCTATTGGTTAAGCGTTCATGTACGAGACTGATAGGTCCTGGGTTCGAATCTCGTGAGGCAGGATCGTGGATACGCACTGCTGAGGAATCCCACAATAGGACGAAACGGCCGTCCAGTGCTTCCACGTTTTCCATGGTGGTCTAGCTTCAATTGACTCATGATTTCAACAAATGTTCAGCTCATCACATGGTTTTTCATATGATTCTTTAACAAACTTCAATTTATGATTTGAACTATTTAAGTACCCTGTTTTCATATAATTCATCGTTAAAAATTAAAATTTTTTTTCTCTTGAAAGAATTTAGGATATAAACAAAATGATATGATAACAATATGTGTTATATTATAAGTCTATAAGTAGTTATTAAAGTATTCTATACACATAAACCATATAAATCAGTTACTTTATTTTAAACAAACAATCATGAGTAGAAATTTATGATCAAACAATAAGAATTTTTTTTCCTTTTTTGAAATATAGAAAAAAATAATTTTATGACATTAAAACAAAAAAAAATTAGAAAATTAATAATTAAATTAATGAAAGCATAAAATTATTGCATGACTACAATTTAATTTATCAGTAAACATCGATAGGATATAAAATGCAAAAAAAAGTTTTATGCATATGTATTTCTTTGATAACGACAAATTTAAAAAAAAATTTTTTTGATCCTACTGTAAGAAATAAATAAATGTAAATTTATTATTTTAGTATAAACATACTTCGAACACATGATTAATCATCTATAGACAATGAATGTGCATTTTATCACGTTATGCATAGAGAAAAAACAATGTTTATTTTATTTAAAAAAAATAATAAACGTTATGATTTTTAAGCAAAGATAGATAGTAGCTAGCAGTGAAATACAGGATGCGCGTTTTGTCCTATTTGGGACTCGTCAACTGGATGTGCTTGCATCTCAAAGTTAATGTTTTTTTTTGGGATTCGAACCCAATACCGTTTGGATTCCACTGCTAGCCATTATCCATCTCTGCTTACAATGCTTTTGAAATAAGGCTATATCGAGGCAATACGCACAGTATGTACATATGTCAATTAGAGACTGACCAGTTGCAGCCCTAACACATCGATGGGAAGATTTAAACAAACAATACTAAGTGAGTTATGATTTTTAATTACATTGTATATACATTGTTATGTTATGCATACATTCATCAATACTAGGTTTCGTAACAAGAAAACTTTATTCAATACTATTTTTAATATATTTACGATGTAGCTATCAATTAAATTTAAGATGTGCGTTTCATCATATTCAAGATTCATCAATCGGTTATGAATGCATTTCACTGTTGATATTCACAATACAACTCAAATCTATTAGTTTTCGAATCAAACGTTTCAGTAAACAATAATTTATTTAACATGTATGAAGGTGTCGGTAAAAGTTTGTAATTTCCTGTTACTGACATTCAAGGATAAAAAACTGGTCAGTCACTTAAACATTGATAACCAAATATCAAATAAACTGAGAACTGTGACTAAAGGCTACATATGAATAATGCAATGTCAGTGAAAATATAACAACATAAACTGATGAACTTCAGTCTTGAATAACAACAACAGCAAACTATAAAACTTTAATAATGATTTTTTTATTATTTTCAAATAAAATGAACACATTCTACTATGAACATAAAATAATTATCTTAGATTTAAATCATGAAATATCAGACCAATATTTAATCAGCCTGAAGTAAACTTGTCAACGGGATAGTGAATGATCTATATTTCAGCAATAAAAAATTATATATATATATATATATCTTTGGAGGTTCTTAACGGAAAGAAAGAACTAAAGCTTGAAATAGATATTAGTAGAATGCATTACATAAGCAAATCTAATATCAAATGTTTTATTTTTTTAGGAGTTTTATATCATCCTTGTTTTCAATCAAAGTAATATATGCTTTAGGCATTAATTTTAGTGGAGTTATTATTTTGTTTTGTTTTCAACATAAATTATAAATAGTTATAAAGTTTAGATTCAGTTTGAATTTGTTTAATTTTAAAGAAGGATTGATATGCAACTATATGTTACTATCTTTTGTCAAAGGTTTATTTGTAATGATGTAAAAGTATCTTGTTCTAAAATCTAAAATGACGGTAAAGGTAGATATTTAGTATAGATTATTCATACCCTTGCTAAGTTTCACTTCTTAAATACAGTTTGTTGATATAACAGAAATATTGAATATATATTCGATGATAATGTTTCAGTTGTAACTAATGGTTGCATAATTCAATATACGTAATGTCTGAATTAATCAGGATTGACATTTCCAATGTAGCCAGTTTATTTGGTATAGGCTTTAAAAAATGAAGACAGAGAGATTGGTAGAGAAAAACTAGTCTTAGATAACTTCTTAAGGTTACAATGAGATAACCAAAACTATTTTAACAATGAATTTTAAAGTTAAATGTTCTACAAAAAGATAAAAATACACAGAGAAACACAACAGTCTATGATGTAAAATTTAATGATATAAAAGAATTATTTAACCTGAAGTCAACTGAAAACATGATATTCACAACAATGAATGCCAACAAATGTATAATCTAAGAACAAAATAACTTACTTTTCCAGCCTGGTTTGCAATCAATAAGAATTTGCTCAACTGTTACACTGACTGAAGTTCTATGTGGCACTGGACGACTGCAATCCTCGGCAATAACTCGAAGTGAATAAGGTCTTTGCGCAAGAGATAAAAGTGTTTCACGTACACGTATAACACCTAAAAAGTATATTATCCAAATTGTAAGTGGTAGTATATGGTATAAAATTAGTAATATATTACATTTTCACGCAATAATAAGTTGATTGTCATTTGTGGTGTCCATATTACTAGCCCTCGAACGTCAAACATTAGGTTGTAGTTTGAATCCTGGTCTACTACGTTTGGGTTGTGGAACTGATCGGATATTACAAGTTTTAATTCAGACACTGTGATTCAATATGGATTAAATGAACTTATGTTTGCTGAATTTTATTGCTATTATCATTAAGGTATCAATATGAGCATTTCAAGACAGAACGTTTATAACAATTTACAACCAGATAAGTTTCATAAATGGGTAATGTTTGAAGTGTAATTTTTTTTACATCAACCAAATTTACTTGAAGTTACGTATTATTCTGAAAGTAAATTTTAAGTGATGTCAAAATAATCTGATTTTGAATATTTACAATTTATATACTACTGATTAGAAAATTGTTTATAAAATATTTTGTTGACTTTGACAAAAATGAAGTTGTATGCTTAGTATGACAACATAGACACTTAAAGACTCCCTTCTACAAATATACTACATTATTTCTCAGATTGACTCAACTGGTACTAAAGTGATCCCTGGTTAATAATGGTCGTTCATATTGTTATTTATGAGATATATTATGAAAATCAACAATTTCCATTGAGCCTCTTTCATGATATTGAAGTTGACAATTTTATGAACCTAGTTGGTCAAATCTTAGTACTAATTAACATATTACGACAACTGTTTGATTGTTTTAACTTGAGGTACATATGATTGTTGAATATATTATGAAACTTATCTAGTGATAGATATGTGAAAACATAAAAGATATAGTATGTCACTTTTTGAATATTACCTTATATTCTATCTGAACAATCATATCTCTAAAAGATGATAAAAGTCAATTCTTTTCAGCGGTCGAAATCAAAGTTTGTTTTCGAAATTAATTTTTGGGAGGAGGATTCTAGCCTTTCCTCTTTTATTTGGAAACACTTTATTAACATGATGCTTTTATGTAACTAAGAACGAACTACTTATAGTTTACAACTAGTTGATCACTTAGTGGTGATAATTGTCATGCATATGTCCAATCCTTCTTAATGCTTATTGAATTCTGTCAATCAAGTTGCAGTCTCGTCGGTAGTCTAAGCAACTTAACATCGTGTTCACTATATTGAAAAGCTGGATGGCTAAAGGTAATAAACAGGAAATATGGACCAAAGTTGGGTGATGTTTGGCATTCATCATTAAGGCAAATGTGTAATCATGAGGAAACTGAAGATCTATGGTTTACTCGACCCCATGCCACTTAGCTATATAGTCAGAAACGTTATCACTAAGCTACTTAGTCTCTACTGACCTCCTGTAGAACTGAGATGTATTTAAAATTGATTTATCCCTGAATGATGGCAATATCATGCGTATCAATTCTTTCTCAGTGTAGATTAAATTATATAGTTCAAACTTATGTCCAAGGATTCCCGTTGACTACTCCTAACGACCACCTGACACCTGAACTTACCAAAGTGTACAATAAGAGTATGAAGTAATGTTTATGAATATTAAATTATTCTATTGGCAAAACGATTTTCTATTTAATAAATTTCTACTGATATCCATGTAAAAAACTTCGTTTTTTTTATAAAAAAAGTCCATCAATAATTTTTAACTATTGATTCCTTGCAAACCCTATCTAAATGTTAAAATATACCATACAACGTTACTACATGAATTGTCAAAAGTATCACCCACAAAAATATAATGAAAAATTGTAATCTTTATTGAACTAATGGAATGTATCATTCAATGAAAATCAGTAACACAGGGTTTGTCATGATAAGAATCTACTGATATTTGTTATTTTCATTTTTTCCTGTTAAACTAACGAGTAAATTAATATGATGATTTAGAATCAAAGGATGAAAAGGAATGCATATGTATGTTTTTATTCTAGGGAATGTATAAATAAAAATTGAGTACTTAAAAAAAACTAAATTGAATGTTAAGAAAAAGTATCACAAAAGTAGAAGCTGAAAATAAATTACCAACTCATTTATTCAGTGTATCCGTTTAGAAGGTGACCAGTTAAGCATAAATTGGGGAGGAGGGTCTCCACCAAGAATAAGTTTAAAGAAATTAGCTTTGCACATCCAAAAAATTGTCATTTTCATAGATAACATTCTTGGTAAAGAAAAATTATTCTACCCTTCTTCAAAGGATAGAAAAATAATAGAAAATGTACAGTACAGAATATACTTCAAACTGCTTGTTTAAGTGTATATATATATATTTAACCATTTTCTAAGTTTAATTACATTTTTATCTTATATGTGGATTTTTAATTACATCCGGGAAATGTTTTGTAATCAGTTTTATGTTTTGTTAAGTCAGTTTAATTGTTCAGTAAGAAATTAGAAGTAGCAATGTTTATGGTACAGATAAAAAAAACTATGAAATGGGAATTCAATTTTAGATTTATTAGAAAAGAGTTCTATTTTTTAGGTATTTGAGTGTAGGAATTTAATTGCCTTTAAGAAATAAAGGTGGTATACTAAAGGATTTTAAATAATGAAAGTTAAATATAACCACTACTACAACGTAGATTAGATGAAATATGATTAGTAGTGCAATCTAGCGTGCGCGTTTCCCACTATTTAGGACTCGTTATCTGGATGAAACTCCATCTCAGAGTTGATGTCTACTCTGGGACAGAAAACAAACATCATTCGTTCCAAACGCCACCGCATTATCCACTTAAGTCCAGATAGGAACTCATTTGTGCGACTGCTATGATATTAAAATTTAATTTGAAATGCTTAAGATTATTACGTTTTTGACATTTTTAACTGGAATGTGATCAGTCTTAGTTAAGACTTAAGTATCCAGTGGTTAAATTGAGGCACTCCAAACAGGACGCTTATATACCAGCCAAGACCAATCATGTTTCAGTCAAAAATATCAACGACGGGAAAACCCAAACCATTTCAAATTGCAATAACATAATGCGCAAAATTGTTGCATAATTAATAATCTTAACAACAGTATGAAATTTGCTAGTATTTAATATACCTCTAGTATGTAAAATAAATGGAAGCTTTATTGTTATCGAAAACTTGATGAACAAAATATGGATCAATGTACAATAGTATGGTGCGTACTATGCAAACTTTAAGTTCAGAGTTATTATTACTGGTTTGGTTTTTGGTTGCTTATTTATGTAAAGTTTTAAACTTATCTGAGGCAATAGCTCAGTGCTCATCCGTTTCTATCGGTTTCTTAACAGATATAAGCTCATATAGAAAGTTTTCCGCAAAGAGAACAAATTTATCTCTAGGTGATAGTCGATTTATGGGTTTAGATATTATCTAGAAATAAAAATTTGCGCATGGATTGATAAAGTTTAGAGATAGCTATTTTTATATAATGTTAGTGTTGAATAATAATACAAACTGACGAAAAAGATGAAATGTTAGTTATCGTTTACGTAAAGAGCTAGAAGAACGTGATATTTCATGTTAAAATCTTAGGAAAGGTGTTTGAAATCCAATTAATTCTACTGTTTGAAACCTTGGTGAACTCCATTGAGATCGTCTGCTGACAAGGGGCACGAAGATTAATCTCTACAGAATCTGTTCAAGAAATATAGTTACTAGATGATAGTACCAAAGAAAGTGTAAAACGTCATGGCTACGGTTTAATTTACTAACTGATGTTATTATTACTCACACTAGTACCACTATTATGTCTGTAAAGAAGCTTTTTTTAAGCATAAATCCCATTAATTTCAGATTCAATTCATAACCATGAAATGTAAGTTTATAGTCAGTATAGAGCATAAAGACAAACGAATCTTTTTCGATTACACTGTATGTTAGTTAGAAATTTACTAAAATTTTGCTTGTGAAACCTTCTTAATATCATATCCGTGCTGGTGTGGTTCATGATCTTCAACTAGTCATACTGACAATTGTCTGTAGCCGTTTTTTATTCCCAAAGCCTTTTATATTATATTACTCGAGGGCTTTGGGTACACTTTAAATATTAGAACATGATTTAAATTCAGTGATGTAAGGGTTGAGTACTATTTTCAACAAAAAAGTAGGAAAAGTTGGGAATGCAAAGTTATATAAATGAATAGCAGACTATAGAATAAGTTGAAATGATAGACGTAATAAAGTTGGCTTAAGATTGTTTCGTCCATACTTCTGCCTTTCTCCCTGGTAATTTTTTCACTACCGGGTTTTCTTTACAGTCAACTCAATCAATATTATGTTGAGTTCTAATTTTGATTTTTAGTCTTTATTATCATATATAACATTCCATGATAATTAGGAAAATATGAATCAGTAGTTATAAAGATCATTCGCTTTTAATAGTTAATATGAAATAAAGTTGCACTTGTTTTTACTAAATGGATAGAATTAACTCACCATAATTATTAATAGAAAACGGACTATCAACAGGCTCAAGACGATAACTACAAATCGCAGTATTTGAGTAGTCACTTGGTTGATTTACTTCTTCAATAGCTTGGATTTGACCAACTATACTGCCGATTGGACTTCTTTGACCAAGTTTAAAATTATAGTGAGGTTTATCAAAAACAGGACCATGACGATCTATTACTTGTATTCGAATAGGAACTCTACATACATACATGGGACATACAAAAGAGGGAAAAACACAAATCTGAATAAATCTTACAATAAAAAAGGTTATTTTTCTTTGATCACATTGTAAAAATTTGAAAATTAAAGTTTTGATTGTAAAACCATTAAAATGAGCTTCATTTTAGGCAAACAGAGGGAAATATATATTTCTTCAGATAATCTCCAATGAGTGCAGTGTTTGGACAATGGTAAAAGCACTCTAACCTAAATAGTAGGTGAATAAAGGTTGGTTTCAAATAAATAATATATTTTTAATATCCCAATGAGTAGAAAAATTAGATTCTCTGGCATTTTGTGACTCAGTGTAAGCCACTTCTTCAGAGAATTACCTTTCAGGGATTTATTCTCTGAAAAAGTGGCTTGCACTGAGTCACGAAACATCAGAAAATCTAATTTTTCTACTCATTGGGATATTACAAAAATATTTATTTACAACAATCTACTCAATGCTCAATTTATTCAAAATTATCAAATCAAAACTTGGTAATGATACCTACGAAGGTTAGTTTTGTATGTTTGAAAAGAAAAAAACAAATACAAACGTGTTAGGATCTAATTTGTCGATTTATTTCAATCCACAGACAGGTCTTTTTGAATCAAATAGTTTATAATGCTATCATAAATGATCCCTACAGAAAACTCTGTTAATTGTTTGTAGTTATAAATGATTGATAACATGTTATTGTGAATAGCGTTTAAACCTACCATCTAAACTAAGTGTGTGATATGTATCATTGAATAAATATGATAACAAAGTGTCTTATTTACCAAACCAATGTTAATTAAATAGTTCCGGTCAAAAATAATCATCATCGAATGAATAAACAAGAAAGCTTTAGTTTGAAATTGAATAAACACCTGATTATTTGTTGATAATTTTTAATTATGAACAGATGACTACCAACTGAAAATATTTTATGGAGAATCTCCTAAATCTTGTATTGAAGGAAGTTAAATGTACATGGGCTAATGCGTCTACTGTGTTTACTATCATAAAGTCTACAGGTCTTGTAATCGACTCTACACCAAGTGGTATATGTTCTTTGTTATATCGTGTGCGCTCGTAATATATAACGTGTGAGTGCCCAATTTAATATATGAACGCCAATTTAGAGAGGAGTGGATTTTACTGATCGGACGTAACTGATGATACTTGAAATCGTACGAGCAGTCTTGATTGCTAACCGGTCTTGCGATCTGCCTAGCCCATCCCGTTAAGTCCAGAACATAAATAACAGCCTCGGCAATATGAATCATTATTTACAAACACACTGGGTTTTTATACAAACCAAAGTAATCAATAAACTGATTATAACTCAAGAATCGTATGATAATAAATCAAAGGTCAAAATAAAGCTAATGATAAAAGAAAACACGAATATGAATAGTTTAGTTACGTAACAATTGTACAATAGGAAATAGGCATAATACATTGGTCGATAAATAGTCCTTAGAGTTACCATTCATAATTCACCAGGGGATATAACATTCTTATATACATCCCGATACATATATAGAAAGATATAGCTCGCAAAAAATTGATATCGAACTAATAAATTCATTTGTACTCAGTTTTACTAAAACACCCCAAATGACATGGCATAAATTCGCTAACATTGACCTAGATGTATAGATTTCTTCATTCTTTATCAGTCTCTAAAATTTTGAGTTTCATGTGAAAGTTTGGTTTATAACTAACAATAACTTGACAGTTGTTAAGAAACTCATTTTGGAAAACATTAAGTATTTAAATATCTGTATAGAAATTTAATTTTTATAGTATACCAATGTTTTTACGATAATGGTTATTACGATTATTTTCTAAAATGTTTCGTGCAATCACTACATTTAATAGACTAAGCTGATTCAAGATTCTTATTCTGAGTATGACACACTGTGATAGCTCTACTTTCTACTGTTTCACTAAAAGGCTTCAGTAAAAATGAATGACATACAACTCCATCGAAAAATTTATGATTTGAAATTATTTCCAGAAAAAAACGTTAATTCTATTTTATATGGACATTTCCTAAGATTAGATTTTTCTTAACAAATCCTTGCTTAATTATTTTTGGAAGACTGTAATCGACCTATCAAACTAGTTAAGTAAAATTTAATTTGAAATGGCTCGAATTATAGAACTCATACTGATTGTGTAATTTGCTTGATTGAATTGGTCTTTTGAAATGAGGAGATTGTCGAAAATTCATATTTAATTATATTCATGGCATTTATTTAAGCTACATATCGCCCAACAAGAATAAGAATTAAACTTGGTCCATATTTAGTCCTCAATCTAATAACAAATACACTTAAAATTTAGTTACCACACAGCCTACAACATTTACTGATCCACGTTTTTCTGGACTACATGTTTAAATCTCACATCAACTATGTAAAGAAAGTAAAAAAACACAATCTATTTCCAAATGTAATGAATAAACTGAGTAACAATCAACCTAAATTTTTATGGCATACAATTATCATCGTCTCACTAATCCAAATGACAATAAAAACCGATGAAAAAAGAATCCAAGACGAGGGAAAATGTCAAATAAAATGAAAGACAAATAATTTCAATTTACTGGCTGTGATCAAGGGACATCGTTTACGGCAAGGAAATATACAAATAGAATGCTACTTGTTTTGCGTTATATTACAATTTGGTGTTGTTCAACATGATATACAAAATGTCAAAATGAATTAGAAAGTAAAATTATTATTAGCAGACATATTTACTTGTTAAATCAAAGTACCCAGAAGAAGGCAACATTTATTTTTAAGTCTCAAATGTTTCCATTTTACTAATTAGTCTAATTCTTCCCTGCAAAAGCTGCAGAAAAGTAGACAGGATGATGATTCTCATGTCAATAATACCAGGGAACATTTATCACATTTCTGTAATTATAAGTCATTAAAATGAACCAATTTTATTCTTTCTTTTAAACTCCTGTTTGTTAATTAAACGCCTGATGAAGTTCCTATAAAAAGAAACACCTGTGTACAATCAAGGCATGAATAATTTTTTCTTTGTATATTAAACATGATTAATGATTAAGTCATGTAAATAAGAAAAAAAAGCAAAGAAGAATCATCAAATGTAAGTACAGACAGAAATACTGGGTAAAATTCATTGAAAAAAATGAAATCCAATATATTTAAATACATATTTGCGTGCAAAATAAAAACATGAAAATACTACCAATGTACAAAACCGAATTCGTGATAATCCATGGCAGTTAAAGCTTATTAGTTGTAAGATATCAGTTGGTTTTTGCTTATTATATGTGTTACCAGATGATAGGTTAATAGAACAATGTTTGAATCTATGAAATAATATGTATTATGTACTGAAATTTTCATTGTGTTGGAAGTAAGTAGTTAATACATCAGCTAATTATTCTCAATATGAAATTATTTCAAATAGTATATAGATAAAGCACATGGGTAGGATACGTGTACATGGATTAATAGCGCTTCTGTTTTTCATTGTTCATTACATGTAGGGTATCTGGCATCTTTCTGTTTTGTTTTACTTGATGAGCAGATACTACTTATAAAAGAATGATTTTCACCAACGATTTTACTTCACACTCTAACTTTTACTTTATTTATTTATCATTCCACATGGCAGTTTGGGATACAATACAGTGGAGTGCTCATAAAAGTCATACATAGATAGCTTTAAATGACAGAAATGAAATATCCATGGTAAATTACTCTTCAATACAGTATTGATCCAGTAGATGAACAGGAAAATGATGAAAAATGCTATGTATTACACTTTTAATGAATACTGAAAAAAGATGGTTATTATCACACTAGAACATTTTCATGTCATCGAAAACTACCAGTATAAGGAAACTCTACTTAACAACAAACCTAAGTATGCTCATACAAATAGTGCACTTACGTTTCAATGGTTTTCCTACTGTTATGATAGTATTGATAATCAAATGTAGAGAGATATTCGATTGACTTTCTTGATGAAACACAGATTTTATAAACAAATAGAAAAACTGAATTTAATAATTATTGGTGCGTAAAAGGTTTTATAGTCAGATAACAATCGACAAATTGGTATGAATGTTTCACATTAAAATGTTCACCTCAGAAGTAGTTCATTTACAAACCATAACCTTATCATGCCTATCCTCTCCAAATTCATGTAAGTTGAAGAAACGTTCGGTCAAGATCTGTGAACACCATAAGACTGATAAGCATGTTAAGAATACTAAATACTTATTTAAAAAAAACCTCATAATGATTTGTAGTAAAACTTCTTTCAATTTGATTATCAGGATACAAAACAACATACTTTATTCATAAACAATATAAGAAAAAAAACGTTTGTGAGTCAACAAATAAAGACCAAAATTTGAATCATATTGGATCAATAAAATTAATCAATGAAGTCGCCACAACATATTGTGCGTGAATCTAACATACACATACACAATGTAAATATCTTATTTTGTGGATGTATGTTTGCACATTTCATTCAATAAATAAATTGTTTCTAAGTTGTTTTTATTTAAACACAATTAAAAGGTATCTAATTAAATGTTTTCATTTATTCCATAATCAATTTGTTTGAAAATAAAATAAAAAAATTATCTTTATTCACTTTGAAGAAGTGGCTTACATTAAGTGACGAAACGTCAGAACTAAAAGTTTCTCACTCATTAAGATATAACAGAAAATATATTTAGAAGCAGAAGAAAACTTGGAATAAAAACAATTTATTCATATTATTAATTTTTCTTCGAGTAAAGTAAACCAAAACACGGTATTCACTACCTAATTATAATTTGATTTATATAATTTGTTTGTTTAGTGTCATGTAAGATAAGATAGCATTAAAAGCTTGATGGGAAATGATTTAGCGTACAAGAGTTATGGCTAATGATGGAGCTCAGGATGTGGGTCTTATCCTATTCGGGGCTCGTGGATCAGAATTTTAGTTTTATTACTA